AAATGCTTAAGTGTCTCAAAGTAAATTTCCTTTTTTAGGAGATATTAAGGCCCTTAATTACTGTGTTAATATAACCTCCCCTGCCTTATAACATAGTGAAGGTGCATTAATGGCACAGAATGCCTCGTCTCCTCACTGAAGGAAGAGGTGCCTGACCAACTGCCTATCATTTCAAGGGTACAAGTTTTAATCCTTGTGTAGATCACTCCCACCTTCATCTTTTAAACCTGAGACGTGCCACCTTGCAAAGGTTTGTCATTTCCTCTTTACATCTAAATCACCTGAAAACAAAAAGAGTAATGCACATGAAGGAAAAAGCTTATTTACAGAGTGGCTTTTTAGATTAGGCAGATCAGAAGATAAAGACCTGCTTAAACATCAGCTACAACTTAGCTGATCAGGTGCTGCAACCCAGCTGAAGTAAATGCATTTCAATTATAAATTAATATCAGATGCTGTTCTCCAGAAAAAGCAGTTCAAGACAACTGAGAGTGAGCAGGGTTACAACTTTCCAAAATTAGCCTGACATGATCTAATTCAGCTTCAGTGGGAGTTAGATTGGGCCACGTGCCCACAGCTACATGAGTCTAACTGCTGCCTCTCAAAAACAATAGTTAAATGAAAACTGTCTCATTACTACCATAATTAACCTGTCCCAGCCACATACATTAGTAATTACTTCTTTTTTTTAATGGTAGCTTTTGTCAAAGTTTCCACACAATTCCATGAGCACTTCAAGACAGACTTTTACATACCTAGTTCATATACAGAGCAAGAAGGCTGTCAAAGAGAGGCAAGAATGTTACACTGGAAAGATAAGCCTGTTATCAGTGTTTCAGAGTGAAGAATAACTTCCTTGACTGTGTGAGGTGGTCTCTTTCTATCCACAAGTCAGTGCTCTTATTTAACAGTGGTTTCCTAAATCCTCTAAAAATTGCAGCCACCATTTGCTGTCATGAGATGAAAATCCTATATAATATTCAACCACACATATCAGTAACTGCTCAACTGCTGCTGCCAGGGATTTTTTCCACACATCACACAAATACATCACCTGTCATAGAAAAATACATTCTTAACACTCAGTTGCTGCTACGTTCATTTATTAGCAGCACCTGGAAGCAGCCTTGAGGGGAAAAAAATAATTAAAAATTGCTCTTTCATCTTGATGTTATTTTAATGTGAATGTTTCATTACAGCAATATATCTATGACCAACAAGAGAGATCATTTAAGTCTTTAGCTACTTAATTTCTATTTAACTGGCTATTATGAATGATTGAGGAACTAATAAATTTGTCTTCAAAACAGTCTCAGAATTTAGGAAGCATTCAGTAGTCATAACAGGCAGCTATTTAGCATGTCAAACTAAATATCTGACAAGGCCAACAAAGTAAACACATCTCAAAACACTGACCCAGGAGGCCACAGTTGGCCCCTTTTAGATAGGGTTAAGGGATATATGAGTATACTGGCTGAAAATACAAGATGGAAGAAAAGTGAATCTATCCATGAGAGATTTATCACAGAAGAAGAAAATACATCTTTCCCTTTTCTTGCAAAAGTGCAAGTTAAAGGTTTTTTTTTTTTTTCTGAATGTCTGCATTTGAGTAATTCCAAACTCCACAGGCAAATCTTGAAATCAGAAACAGACACCATTCTCCAACCACTGCTTCTCCTGGAAACAACTATCTTAATCTCTGCCTTTTTAATACCTCCAGACTGTGGGTTCTACGCTATCACCCATCCTACAGTATTTGCAAAATTCTAGCTGGAGGGATTAGCAACCAACAGCTATTCAAATCTGCCTGGATTATCTTTAAGATAGAAGAGATGAATATTATGACTACTCAGATGTATGATTGTTTTAAATTACCAGCTGCATATTAGGAAGCAGTAAGGATTAAATTTCAGGCTTCAAGAACCTGTTTGTTCTCAATCTTATATTTCAATTTTATGAAAATTTTGTTACAGGACAGGTTGGATTCCATGTATTTATACCCTCATCAAACATAAATTAAAAAAAAAAAGGCAAGCTGTTCTGCTCTACACAGATACAGTTGCAAAATAAATGTTTTGACATCCTAAAAACAACATTGACATTTTCTTAAATGTTAAATTTAATTTTTCTAATTGCTATATGTTACGACAATGATAATTTGATATATCTAACATGTATCTTAATTTTGTCTTCTTGAATCATTTATAGTCTAGCTGTATCTTTCAACACACCACTGTTAAGTATGATAGAAAAATGGCAACCAAAAGATTGTATAAAGTAATTGTTTTATTCGATGATTTTTCTGGGTGGACTTAGCTCAAGGGCCTAGCAGTCTTCTGCTGTTTCCACATCTCCTTCATATAGCTGCAAGAAATCATCTTTAAAAGAACAATTGCAATTTTCCGTAAAAATTAAACTTTAAATTGATTAGGGTCATTAGCAAGGTCTTCAGGTTCCATTAGTTTTTAAACTACAGCTGAATTTCTGCCTGTCATTCCAAGAACTTTTTATTCTGTATGGTTTTACTGGAAATGAGAAAAAAACCATTTACCAATACTTAGTTACCTGTTGGCTGAATTCATCAGGCTGCACATAATTGTACACCAGTCACCTCCACTTCGAAATTTCCAGGATCATAAGTACAGTTCTAGGAGGTCTCATACCATACTTTGGGCCATTCAAGAACTTTATTTATCAAAAACACAGATGAAAAATAATGCTCTTACAGTTCACAGGCTATAGTGAAATAACCTTCTGCAGAAGATTTCCCATATGACTGTGACCTGTTAAATTTAATAATCTAAAGGGTATGGAAACACAGATTGCCACAGCCTGTGCAGCTAACCTTGCTAATGTCCTTACAGCATTCTGTCAACTGTAACAGAAAGGCTGGAAGAGTGCCCAAGGAAAGGTATCCAGTAACTAATACAAAGCTTCCCAACAATTCTATAAAATCTCAACCTTGCCAAAGCAAGAATTCTGTACTTAACATGCCAAAATATAATCTTACAGCACCAAAATGGGTTCTGGAAGGAGCTGAGAGACCATGAACACTCCACCACTCGGAATGTGGGTCAGTAACATTACAGGGGTCTCTGTGCTGCAGCCTCCCTGCTTTTTCACCCCTGCAGCTTTCTCAAGTATCCTGTACCTCCAGAGTGCTACCAGAGGGCTGCAGATGAACAGCCAGGAGCAGCCCCATCTCTGTCAGATGCAGCAATGGTAGAGCTTCACAAATAAAACACCAGAGTGGCAAACGAGGCCATCCTTGCTGCTGGAGTGGCCCATCTCCATCTCTTAAGCCAGTCAAAGCAGACAGACAACTGTGCTCTGAAGCAACCTACTTTGCTTGTGCTTATGCCTAAAGCCAAATTTGCCTATTATGAAAATGGAAGGTGACACAATAACACAAAACAGTTTGAGTCACTAGAAATGCACGCTGCAGCACTCAATTACAGCTGGGTGAATTAAGGACTGTGTTACAGATTTAATCCATCTCCCCTCCACTTTGCAAGTCAAGATAGATCTTTCCATATCAAAAATTTCATTTAAAATTATTTTAAGATCTTATCTCTCAACAACTGAATTAATTCAGCTTGCAATTTTTATCCTTTTGAGAAGAACAAGCACAAGTATTTTTGTAAGAGCCTGGCCTTCCTGTTTTGGGGGGACAGAAAGGGACAAGGAATTATCTTTACAGCTGTTTTTCTTCCTGTCTAATTTCCCTGCACAACACTAACTCCAGGTACATTTGGGGAGCCCAATCTGATGACTCTTACCAAAGTCAAGCAGAGTCTGTTCTGCACTACACAGTGACAGTGATTCCAAATGGTGATTGTTTACTGTTCTACAAACAGTACTGTCAATCAAAAGGCAGCATGTTTTACCAACTTTCTTTACCCATTCACACTGTACACACTTTCCAAGTTAAAGACCACTGGTTTTTAGCATGCCAAACCAAACCCTCATTTTGATCCAACTTCCTTACAAATACAAGACCCTACAGCCATTTTTGAAAGCACCAGTGATAAGTATCAGCATTTTCACACTGAAGTTAATTCAAATACTACCATTCCTAAACACAAACTATTTATTTTGCATTTTACAGCTGTAAATGCTATCCAATTGTACACCTTCATTTCACAAAATACTTTCCACTGATAAAGAACTCTTGACATACAGAACAGTTGTGCCCCCATTTACATGCCCAATTGTATTCAACTTCCCTTCCATAATGCTTATTTAGAAAAGGCTATCCAAATGTTTAGATTAGGCCACTAACTCAGCTTCTTTACATGTTCTTAACTTGGAACACAGCGTAGCAGTGTACCTGCTAATTATGATCTTACTTCTGTAATACCAGGTTAAAGGGTCTGATCCCTCAATTTGGATCTATATGTTAGGCTGATTTGATAATAAACAACTGAAAAGAAAATTATATTGCTCAAACTAGTAATATTAGCAGTACTCTTTGAACATTATGTCAAAGTTAGCCGTTACCAGAGATATGCAAAAGAAAGAAATCAGATTTCAGAGACTGTTGGAGAGAACTTCTGATACAAGACTGGTTCTACCTCTCAAAACTATCTGTGATTTATGACTGAACAGACAGGCCAAACTTTCCAAAGGTACCATAGTGTTAATGAAACCACTGGCCTCCTCTCAACAGAAGTCATGAATCTTCTGAATACCTCCACAGGCTTATGAGGTTGAGCATCCAAATATCAAACCACACAAGATTAGAGACCATTTTGAAAAATATAACTTGTATTCAGCAGGTGCCAATACAAACAATCCTCTTGTAAGGACTTCGCTTGTTCTTTGTGGAGCAATGTGGAATATGAGTGTGACAAACTTCCTAAGGGAAAGATCTGCTCTGTCTGCCATCTCTGTGACACAGAAAGGTCACAGGTTCCACATTTAACAGCAGCACAAAAAGAAGGCTCTTTCCCTAAAATCTTTATACCATGAAAAGACAGAAGCACAGACATCTGACTTACTGTAAGGTGTTGTATCAGTAGGGTCAGGAGGTGGGAAGTTTTCTGTGAAGTTGACATTACACAAGTCCGTACTACAGCAGCAGAAGCGGTATGTTCCATTCTGAATCAAGGACGGGGTGGTTGTAACTATGCACTCTTCAAAGTGACACTCCTGTGGGTCTCCTATATGAGACCAGCAACCTGCAAAAAAGAAGCAAATTACTTTTTTTTTTTTTCCAAGTAAGCATAAAATTAATTCAACTGTCTGGATAAACACGCCTACAGAAATCCATGCATTACTTGATTAAACATTACAGAGTGGGGTGAAAACAGTTATAATTTGCTTGTCTGACTTTACTATCACCTTTTAAACCAAAACCTGAAGAATTTCTTTTAGAACTCCCCATAACCAAGGAGAAGAAAACATGAGCAGGGATGAAGGCCAACGTCCAGCTGTTGACTTACTATGATAAAACCTGAAATTCTGAGCCTTCTAAGCAGAAATATGCTATTCCTCATCTCTCTGATACCACAGACCATATCACCATTTTCTGGTCCACAGAATAAATGAATTGTGACCTAATCTCTTCCTTAGGCCACAAGACTGCATCTACAGCTTGGCGCTTCTTGCATAATTTTCAAAATTCTGCCCTTCCTCATTGTCAACATGACTGGACTTTTCTACAGGACCACAACTTACTGCCTGGTTCATACCAGGTCCTTTGTCCCTGCAGCAACTGCTTCTTCCCAAGTATGGTCAACAGCAGTTAAATGTCATTTATCCACAAATAACTGGAAGGGAAAGAGGCAGCAGTGGGGCAAAGGTGGGCAGTCAAGCTGCTCCCTTCAGCAGATTGCCAGATCAAACAGGAATCATGGACTACAACTCCACAGGCTATTTGTGAATAGCAGCTGCATCTTCATTCAGCATTATTCTACATTAACTCGCATCCAAGTAAAAAAGAGCAGAATCCCGAGGATCATAATCAAAACATGTCTCCAGAGACTGCAAGGCCCTCCTACCATCATTCTCCCCACAGAATTGAATTACAGGACTGATACCTGAACTACAGCTGCAATTTCCTTTGTAAACAAACATCCAATCAATATGAATACACACTTTTTACTTAATAAGACACTTACTGTTAAATTTATCATTACATCAATACACATATTGAAATTCAAGAAAGCCATCTTCTTCTGGACATCCTATGTAACAAGAAATTTGAATGCTTCTTCTTTCAACTGTACATTAATGTATTTGGTCTCTTTTAGAAGTTATTAATTTCAAACAAATATTCTGTTCACATTTAAAATAGGTAAATGGCAAGTTTTAAATGATGCATTTTGACAATGTGCAAGAAGTCTAGTTTTGCAGCTGTGCAGCTTTGTATGAGCTGGCTAGATCACAAAGAAGTAAAATAAGTAAAAAAACTACTGCACTAAAACTGAACTGTAACATACCTTGTTTTACAAGATGTATGTCTCCTTCTCGTGTTTTTTCCCAAAGTCCATAGCAGGTACTACCTTTCATGCACAAAATGGTGCCATTCTCCTGGGAGATGCGGCTCTCACTGATGCCATGGTCCTGCTGATATGGGTCTTTAAATGCACACAGCCGCTCTTCATTCTGTGTAGCTTTAGCCAAAGAAAGAAAAATAATTTTTGTCAGTGATTCCATGCATAAAAGATTACCTTTAATAAAGAGATGATTAAGGTCTTCTGAAAAGATACATTTTAAAAAAACTAGATGTATAACTACAAGGCACTTAGATACTATTCAGAAGTACAGCTCAGCTAACATCCAATCACAGTAAGAATTTGTAGTACATTTTTCAACAAATAGATTTCCTTCAGTTCTTTAACTCCCATCAAAGCATTGGCAGCAAAAAGGTGCAAGATGAAGCAGATTGGTCTTTTGGGTAAAACAGATTTTGAACTTAAAGTAAAATTATAGCACATGTAATTGTAAATTATTAAAGGTACTGTATAAAATATCTCCTCACAGATGGTTTATTTCTTTGATCATTCTTCAGCACTGGCCCCAAAGAAGCCATGTTTCAGCAAGGCAGACTCACTGTCAGCAGCTGGGGTGATTGGGGTAGAAAAGCCAAGGGACTTGGATACATGTGTCTCACTTGCAAGGCTGTTACTATTCATCAGGAGTCAAAATTTGTAATTATTTTATGCTGAGACAACTACAGATTGCTGCACTATTCAGGCCAGCATTCTGTCAGTGTTTCCCAGTTTATTGTGTGGCAGCAGTAATTAAAATAGCACAACTTAGCTGATTTTTCTACTGCTCTGGTAGATCACATGTGATCAGTTGAGCTGCGTGTCAGCTCAGTGGGGGCAAAACTCTCAGCTGAGGAGACAGAAACCTCTTAAGCCAGTGTAATTCAATCACTTGCAGCTCCCCACACTCCAAGAACCCGGCAGGCAGTCCATGCTGCTCGCCCACCTCTCTGAACTCTGGTCAGAAAGTCAGTCGCCTAAATTTCATATCCGATTTTTAAAAAACCACTCTGAGCAGAGTTAGTCAAGTTACTGAGTACAAAAAGGTCACACACGAGCAGCCAGCACATGCTGCCTCCAGCAGAACTTGCCAGTTGCGCGCTGTGGTTTTATTCTCAGAACAGCTGAGTATGCCAGGCGTGAAGCATCTGTCCTGCATTCTCTGCTCCTTGACATGGGACTGGCCAAGAAACAACATATGAAAGGACAGCACCCCACTGCCATAAGGGAATTGCATCTGACTCACTTTTTGAGAAGTCAAAGAAGAAAAAACTATCACAGAATTACAATTTTCAAGACACAGTGGGACAAAAGTATACAGCCTTGTGAAACAGGACACATGTGCTCTGAGGGACAGTAGGAAGGTTTTAAAACCCCTTGCATAGGATAGCTGAGTGGGGCTAAGGCCATCCAAGATCTGGTTGTTTACAAAACACTCAAATTGCTGCAAGATAAGTCCTTTCATAACTTGCCTTTGTGAAAAATTGATTTAAAAGAACCACACAAATCTGGTTTCCTTATTTTAAAAGAAAAGTAATTCCAGGAAGTCCACTTTAATAATACCTCAATATGTTTTTTAAAAAAATCTTTGAACCCATGAACTAACAGGAGCAGAAAAAAGACCAAAACAAACCAAAACCTTTTGAGTTTGCCTTGGACTCAGACAAAAAATAATGGCATGCATAATGTCTGTGCACCACCGACTGAGACAGCTTTAATTGCTTACTTTTCAGGTCTCTTAATCTTTCTATAAAACTCCTACGATCAAGGTTGAGAGGTAAGAATATGAGAAGATAATCAAAAAAAGAGAAGCTGCTAAGAGTCATGCTAGATGCTGTTCAACCATACATGTACTACAGAAAAAAAAAGTAACTACCAAAGGCTTTTCTGATTTAAAAAGACTGCATTGCCCGATAAGATTACCTGCAGAGGGGAGAATGGGGCAAGCATGAGAAAATACAACCTGAGTGTCTATCAATTTTCTTGCAAAGCAATAAAAATACTAGTGAACTTGACACAATTTAATGTCAGATGATCTCAGTGGGAAACTTTTCCAACAAAAAAATAAAGGTTACTCATCCAACAACTAGAGTTTTCATGCTGATCACTGCACATTCCTGCTTCGATTATAACTCGGAGAAGCACAGCCCCTGTGGGAGCAGTACCCACTGCAATACTCTGCTGACCCCTGCCCCTTCCCTGATGGCATGGAACATCTGGAGAACAGGGGACATGGAACAAAAGCTACTTTATTTTTCTCTGTGGCCTCTGTATGTTCATTGTTGAAGTTGTAATGCCGAAGAAAATTGGGTAGGGCATTCAGATGTACAGAAACCATCTTGCAGAACAACAGACTAGATGAACTGCTTCAGTTACTGCTCCTGATTTCAGTACATTCCTGCTCTGGGATTTCTTTCTTCCAGGCAGTGGAAACCAGTCAGATTTAAAAACTTTTAGTACTGGAATACTTCTAGGTGAGGTTTTGAAAGCAGCCTCTAGCCTGGGTGAGTATGCTTGTATGCCTTAAACCTTGCCCAAAAGAAATACTACAAAATAGTATTACAAAAAGCACACAAAAGTGCTGGAGTGCCTCTTTAAAAGCTGACCTATTTCAACAGAAATCTTACTCTTCAAGGTAAAATACCATTGCTCATCTGGATTTCCACATGTTCCACAGGGATGACGTTGTTTGTAAGTTTTCAGTCATCATGGAAGCCAGCAGGTATGGAGGGTACATTCAGAGCTGAAACACACCTCCCTGTCCCTCGGGAGCTGTGCACCTGCAAGGCTTGAGGGCAGCCACTAACACACTCTGTAGCAGGTACCTGAAAACTGTCTAGATATGGGCCCAGGCAGCTGGCTCTAGGTGACTCTGTCTCAGCAAGGAATTGGACCAGATGACCTTCAGAGGTTCCTCTCAACCTCAACCACTCTGCAATCCTTGCATGTCTCCAACATGCATCAAACAAGACACAAAAACTATTTCTTAGCTGGGCTACTTGCTCTTTTTTGTCTCCAAGGCAGGCAAGATGGTAGGGTAAGACTAGAACTACTGGATTCTCTTGTTTGTCTTCAGTTCAAATACATCCAAATAGACCCAAGGAAATACCTTAATGTTAAGATCTTCATTAAACAACATGAGCAATTAAAATAAATAACTTAGCCTATGAAGACTGAGGCTCTATTTGATACATCCAGTTCATTTGCTACCTGTCAGAAACATGAAGCAAAGTCCCTGCAGACATGTGTGCTCACCAGATATTAGGGAGCCACAAGCAGTTCACTGTACAGTGCCCTTTTCCTTACAGATTTTGCAAACCCAAGATGCACCAGCAGGATATCCTCAAATCAGCAGAAGAACATTAACAAAAATGCAGAAAACATTAACAGATCAAGCTATGCAGACATGAAATGTCCCAGCACACAAACACAACCAAGACCTAGCTCCAAAGTGGCAGCACAGGTTTCACAGGACATCTTCTGCATGGCTGAAGCCATCTTTAAAACCCCAAATTTACCTTTATAAGGTAATTTCATAGTAAACTCTGTTGTTCATCACGTTGAACTCATTACACATTCCAATCTTTTCTAATTAACCCTTTAATGAAATTTCATGAGAGGTTTTGAAATAAATAAATGGCAACTGAATGCCTACATGTCATACACCACTGAAAAATTTGCTACTGGAGAAACTGTAGAAGCGACAGAGAGGATGACACTGAAGAGGACAAAAAGTAAAACCTAAACAACAAATTATGAAGGATTTATAATGAAATGTCAATTTTCCATTCCTCTGGTATTTCCATATCCATTCCTCTGGTATTTGCATACCAGACAAACTATGTCAAAATAATTCAATAGAAATAATAAAATTAACTGAAGCTTCTGTTCTGTCATCCTGCAGAGATTTCTAACAAAGACGAGAAGGGGAGGCCCTATTCCCAGAAGTTACACCAAGGCAAAAACCAACAAGAGCACAGCAAGCTCTTCAACTCTCTATCATAAACCAGAAAAAAACCCCAAACCTAAAAATGAGTTTTGCTGCTCTCCAGACCATTTTACACCTCTATGTACACAAAAATACACCTTTACATACAGTTTCGGAATCAAACATGAGTGGCATGCAAATTGAAGACGGGTGCTCCAAGCAGTCATCTAAGAAACAGTCAAAGTTCTCAGCTTTCCTGCCTGGCTGCCACTGCTGCTGAGTCTGATCACCACACGCACATGTAACAGACTTCACTTGAATCAGACTGTGAAAACTCACTGTTGTTTTCCAAGAATGGGTAAACAGACTACAATAAATTACTTTCCTGGAATCACAAAGGAACTGGGAATTGCCCATTGTTTCCTAAGTCCATCCTGTGGCTCACACTTACTGTCGCAGTGGTCTGGGGATGTACAGTTCACCCCCGTATCACTATACAGCCTCAAAAAAGAGGACCAGGGCTTCAGGAATTTCCTTCTGACATATAGCTCAGGTTTTTATGTGATTTACCATCTTAGAATTAGTCAGTTCTACCGTCAACAAAAAAAAAATCTGAACGTTATCACAGGAAAAATGCTATATAGTTTTTTTCAGTATTTTTTCCCTGTAATCATGATGTTATTTACAGCTGCTCAGAAACAGAGAACTGATTCACATTCATAAGTGAATTCTGTCTGTTCACTATAAAAACACCCTGAGATGTTTACTGAGTATTTGCCTTTTTTCCCCACTAAAGATATTTCTGAACAGTAAAGATCAGAAAAAAATTCCAAGTGCATCTACTATGACAGAAATGCTGTACACGACTAACACACAACTCATCCATACTAGGAGGAGTTTAAACAAATGAATAGGTTGCTGTTGTTTTTAATATAGTAATTCTTCCACGATCACGGCATGTTCTAGGAAAACAACTACTGAAAACAATGAAAGAGAAATACCGAAGTTACAGCAATCCAACTGCAAATCCTTAGAACATGAGTCATATTTTCACTAATAGCATCGGAAGTCACTTCCATTAGTACTTAACTGATGCTTCCTGACCTTGCATCTACTCAATGCAGTACACAGAATGCACATCAAGTGCGAAGCGGGGGGAAAGGAACAACAAAAAAAAAAGACTCAAATGTTACTC